AGGCGGTCTGAAAACCGGCTGCCCTTTAAACTATGAAGTCTCCGTGTGCTCTGAATTTCAAGTACCGAATGCTCTAAAATGCCGGATGCTCTCAAAATTCAAGAAATTTCACGAAGTTTGTAAATGAGGCTTCGTGTGCTTCCTCCCCTATTTATAGGGTTTGTCCCGGAAGGCGAAGGGGCGCGACCCTTCCCCTTCTGCTTTTCCCTCTTCCTTCAGTTAGAATTTGAAGGGGTAAAAAAAAAAAATTTATTATTATTATATTTTCTCCGCCAGCTCTCTTTTCAGGTGCCACGTGGCACCTTGCCACGTCAGCACCTGAGAGGGGCAAATGTTTGGGGTAAAATTACCCAGCCACGTGGCCTAATGGCAGCGCGACACGTGGCATCTTGCTATTGGTCAGCAGGGCTCCAATCCCCTGATGACACGTGTCCTAGGAACCCTAAATGGGGAACCAATGCTCCCCACTATAAATAGTGGGAGAATCCTCATTAATGGGGGACACTTACATTCAATTGGTATTCAATACAATCATAAATACAATTTACACCAAACCCGAGAAATCTTAATTGCGGAATTCTCCCATTACGCGAGAAGTAATTACCCTTTTTACGCACTTTCTTCCTCCCGTACATCACTGACTTGATCGTCAGAGGCGGAGCTCCACCCAACCGGAGTCTTCGTGGTTGTGCAGGTACAGGCGATCGAAGGGCATTATTGGAATTGTAACTCTCCCGCAGGACACATCAAAAAACCCCGAAACATTTTTTCGTAAAGATTAAATTCCATACATTAATTAGATGTGTCGATAAGAGTTTTGTCTAGGCGGGTCTAGTTTATATGTTTGAATTATGCTTATACATTGTGGCCTTACAAAGCCGAATTCTTTTATATTAAATTACATTTGGATTAGGTTGTGTCTAATCAGATCGGTTAAGTTTTTTACACCTTTAATGTCACTAACATTACATTTTACAAGTACTCCCTTTGTTCTCGAAAGAAGGTTACGTTTGATAGTTTTGCACGGTTAATAAAGAAAGTAAGATAGTTGGAAAACAATGGTCAGATGTCACATATATTGGGGGATTTTGTGTGCGGCTGACCTCACCATGTGGCCATTTGTAAAAGAACAAAGTAACCCCCTATAACATTGACCGAGTAACCCATATTGTAATGATCAAGTATTTCCTAAAATATTGACCGAGTAATCCCTGTAAAATTGACGAAGTAACCCTTGTAACACTGGCCGAGTAACCCCTATAACACTAACAAAGTGACGACCTCGTTGTAGCCGGCCACATATAAGATTTTATGCACATATATCAAGTATTAAGATATTAGATTAACTTTGAATATAAGAATATTACATTGGGAGTATGTAAATATTTTTGTAAATAGGAATTGTTGCATTGGGTGTATGCAAATTTTGATATATGGGGAATTGTATGGAAAATATGTATTTACGAGGAAAATGTGTAGCAAAAAAAATTATTTTAATCTAAGAAATAATTGAAACATAATAATTAAAAGGGAACACTAAAAAGGACAAACGTATGAGAGCGAGGAATAGCTCAGTTGATTAGGGTTTTTCTCCCGATTTCAGGGGATCTTGGAATCGATTCTCTTCACCCACCCTAATCGTTCTCTAAACACCAAAAAAGGGCAAACATAACCATCATTCTGGAACAGATGGAGTAGTTTTTCTACTCCAAATGAAAAGATGAAAAATTATATATCAGGGAATTTTGCAAAATAACACTACAAAATTGTCACAAAATGGATTATAACCCCACCCAAAAAAAAAAAAATTATAATACCTCCAAAAAACCAATAAATTGGATTCACCACCATTTGACGGATGACAACCAAAAAACCAGTAATGGACCCCATAATGTACATGTGTCAATTATCTATTGAATTAAAAAAAAGAAAAATTAAAAAAAAGAAAGAAAAAAACCCTAACCCCTAACCCAGCCACCACCACCACCATCGGCAGCCTTACAACCCACCCTCGGCATCCCCCGCTGCCGCCAAGCCCACCCAGCAGCCGACAAACCAGATCGCCCACTAGCCCCACCACCATAGCTTCCTGCAAACCCATATTAAACCATGTACGCAATTGGTGTTGGGGTGGGAGTTTCTGGGTAAATCGGTGTTAGGGGAAGAGATTTCGGGGGTTGCCAGTGTTAAGGGAGGAGGTTTCGGGGGTTGTCGGTGTTAGGGGAGGGGGTTTTGGGCATTTCTGGTGTTAGAGGAGGGGGTTTCAGCGATACTGGCGCTAAGGGAGGGGATTTTGGTCGGTAAAGAAGGGATTATCGGCGGCTGGTTGGCTTGGTGGCAGTGGGGGTGCCTGCGATGGCTTGTAGGGAAGCTGCTGGTGGTGGTGGGGTTAGGTTTTAGGGTTTGTTTTTTTTTTTTTTTTTTTTTTTTTGTAAAACCAATAGATATGTGACATGTGTCTGTTGTGGTGTGGACCCCACTAACGGATTTCATCCAAAAATCCGTTAAGTGGTGATGAAAGCCAATTTTTGGGTTTTTTTGTGGTGTTTTAATATTTTTTGTTTTTTTGATTTTTTTGTGGTGTTATAATCCATTTTGCGACTTTTTTATGTTGTTATTTTGCAAAATTCCCTATATATATTATGAAAAACATTTAAAAATGGGACAATTCACAAATTTCGAAAAATAACCGAAAATTAGAGCACCCACATATAAGTGGACACTAGGCAGAATGACAGGTACTTGGAGTAGTAATTAATGTAGGAGTCCAGAAAAATAAATGTAAAGGGAATGAAATACCAAGATACTCGTGAATCACTTAGCCATTGTTTCTGTTTGCTAGTACTACTAATCTACTATAACGAGTTTTTGGCTTAGTAATTAATTTTACTGTTTATCTTTATGGCATCTCTTATCTCTATGTTAACAATTTTATGGATTTTTTTACCCATTTTAGAGGTCCACTTTTATCCTTAGCTTATCCAACTAGTGTACATTTTGGTCTGCAATGGCTTTTCCACTGGCCCATCCACGTATTTGTCCTTACCGTTACTAAAATTTTCTTTCTTTATTTATTTTATTATGGTTCAAAAAAAAAAAAAAAAAATGTTCTAATGACTTAGCCATGTACGAATTCATCCGGTCTAGTTTGACAGTCTAGACGTTAAAGAATTGATGATGGATAGGGTGAGCAAATTAGACCCTTTTGGAAGTTGGAGTGAAAGGAAAATCTCTATTTTCGATGTATTCTTTGTGATGTTTGATCACACATTTTTAAGGGGATACAAACTTTTAGGATTAGACAAGTGCAATCTGATTTATTCTAGGTTGTTATTAGTTAATAACAATTTAATATGTGACATTACTTAATTGCAATGTATTGGAGTGTAATCATTTGTTGTAGTTGGAATTTCACAAGCGTATAATATGTTGTTAGATTATATTTTAGCTATGTTAGTTCTCGTGTATGTAATGTATGATGTATAATCTTGTGTTTTAGCTATGTTAGAATGCTACATAATCTTGTGTTTCTCAAATTGCATTGTACCTTCCCTACGACTCTAGTATACTTCCAAGTATACAAGAAAATTTTTAGAACATCATGACTATTTTTTTTTTTAATTTTTATTTTGGAGCTTCCCCAAATGAGTAGATAAGCAAAACTTTTTATCTATCATGCATCCAATTATATAATAGAAATTCTTTGATTTCTTTTGATTATTTTTTTGGTGAAGTTTGATTTAAAATAAGTGGAAAATAGTATAATACTCCACCTATCTAAGCCACATGTTATTTTAGCATCAATAACATGAAAATAAATCTTTTGTTATTTTTTAGTTGACTCGTTTTAAGTTTATTATTATTCACAAATTCTATCTTAACTAGCTCATGTGTATTTCCAAAGTATATGTGTACATTAACTTTTAAATTTTTTACTTAAGATGATAAACGTATCGACGATTGAATTTTTACATGGCAAATAATGTAATAAACGTGTTAACTAAAAATAGCTGAAATAGAATTTACATGCTAATATCAATGTATCATATGATATATTTTGTTCTTTCTAGTTAGAGATTAACCAAAGTAAAATAAAAATCAATAGTGCTACTATGTACTTCCTCCTTTCCTTAACTAAGTTTACCTTTGTATGGTATCTAATGCATATTTTTGAATACCCAAACCATTGTATGTCATTTTAGTATCTTTTTTACTTTATTTAATAGTTATCTTATATTAGTGTTGATTATATGTTATTAATTGTTAATATCTAATCTTTTCTTTTACAATAATTCATTAGGATTTGTGAGTGTAGTCTTTTACTCTTTTATAGTGAGGAAAGTTTGTAATTCATGAATTTTTAGGTTTGAGGTATGATGATTTTGACTAGGGATGTTTTCATTTGATTGATTTTGTAATTAATGTTTTGTTTGTGTGATTGACCATCATAAAAACATTAGACCTTTAGGAGCCTCAATTATTAGCCTTGAAGGATCATGTAAATAGAGACTAGCTGGTGTAATGGGCTTTCTTTTTCCTGGTTTATGTTTGCAATCACATAAACGAGTTTGTAATTCTGCTTCTCTCTCTCTCTCTCTCTTAATTTCTTTTTTCCATTACCTAAAATATTGTAAATTCTCCATGTTGCAATTTTAAATAAACTAATGGGGTATTTATTTTTATGTTGTTGGGGTTGTTCATCCCAAATCTCACATGGAAGAAATAAGGAAGGACTTCTTTATAAATGAGTGCACATTGCTAATTAGTATAAAACCTTTTGGGAAAGGGTCCAAAAACAAATCTATATAGACTAGGCCCAAAGCGAACAATATCATACTAATGTGGAGTGGAGTGTGCGTGCAACCCAACAAGGTGGGTAACCCAGGCCCAATATATGTCATGTTTAGTTTATTCATACCAATTCCCTTTTTACATGGTCTTTGTCGTCAGGAGAAACTATGATAACCATGTCATTAGCTAAAACTTCGATTAATGGTATTTTATGAACTCTTTAAAATGAAACATTATATATTGACTGTAACAATTTTTATTTATACACTCGTATATGTATACAACATAAAATAAATTATTATACAATGTAACACACAAGCATAAGGACACACATACAATTGATGGTGTGCAACATAAACAATCAGTGAAGAATGACCAAGTCTTGCATGAATCATTTGCCAAGAAAATGGTATATATGCAATTAGGGACATTATTGATTTCAACACTTTGGCAAGTCCGCAGGAGGTGGCGGTAAGGTTGTTTCCGGAGTGCCGCCATCATCAACAATAAAAGCCATAGCTAAACCCCATGTTAGATGAACATCTAGATGGCAGTGCAATATCCATACACCTAAATTCAACCAAAATTCCATGTTAAGAATAACTTCTAATGCCAACTATAATATGTCACGTATAAAATACAAACAGTTTTAATAAGTGAAAATCAGTAACTGTGCAGAAAAATAAATTTGAATCAGTAAAAATAATTTCAATTACCCGGATTGTTAGCTCGGAATCTAACAACAGCCCAACCACCAGTAGGCACAGCAATGGTATTCCTGATTTGCGGATTAACAAGATTGAACTTTCGACGGTCCACATTAGGATCATAATTTCCAAACCCTTGAGCAAGTACTTGAAAATTAAAACAATGAATGTGCATAGGATGATTCTCTATACCCACCAAAGAAGTGTCCTGAAACACAATCTCAATCGTAGTGTTATACTTAACCCGCTTTACAGTAGTCGATTTCGTGGTCATTAACAAGTTCTGGTTCAGGCTGTTGTTGGGGTTCGTATAATCGAATGGCATAAGAGGCGTGTCCGGGAACGTGGCATTGTACACGCCTGTGACATTGGAGTAATGCGCCTCTAATATGGACATCTTTGTAGGTAACTGAAAAGAAAAGTTGCTAATACTAGCAGCAAAACTTTGATTGAAAAGGCCTAAACAACTTGTGTTTTTTCCACACGAAACTAAGCCTAGGCCAATTGCCATGAACATATGCTCGTCGACATCTAATATCGTTGGCTCCCAGAATCGAGCAGAGGTAAGGCCGGTTAGATTAGAATAAAATCTATGAGCCATAGGGGTGTCGTCGAAGGCCGGTAATGCAGGCATTATCGGTGTTGAATTTGTGCTGTTAACATAGGTAAAGATTGCAGTGGCAGTAGTGTTATCGAATGGTACACCAGGTGCGCTTGCATATGGCTTGGCTGCCGCGTAGTACGAGGAAATAGGCTGGTTGGCTGTCATGAGGACGTCAACTGTTTGGCCTGGTCCGGTCACCACCACGTCTGTTTCGTAGGGGACGGTGTAAACAGCGTCGATTGCTACTACTGTCATGTTGTGGTTTGCTACCTTGAAGAAGTGTTGGTTATTGAGTGCAGCATTGATAATGCGTAGTAAGTAGGTTTTTCCTTGGACAACCTCAAACTTGCTGCTTTCTGATCATCATTGAAATTGTAAAGTTAGCTATTCGTAAAGTGTAGTACTAGTAATGATCAAATATCATCAACTTACTGTTTTTCGAGCAGGCGTAAAGATCACCAGGTTCACCATTGATTGTGTAGGCATCGGATATATTAGGTGCTGCTCCGGTTGCCAAGCCTTGCTGTTCAACTTCGAGTACATTAGCATTCCACCACTCCCCTGTAACATATATGTCAAAATTTTTGTAATCAACATTTCTATCCCATAAATTACAGTATATATTAGCAGTTTCTCAAAAGAACAAAAAGAATATATAGCTTTAATAATAATTAAGATATAACTAAAATGTTTGGACTCATAAAACCCACTTTCTGTTACCTCACCTCACTATACATATTGGTATGAATGTTCATCAATATATATCGCTTTTTCAAGGAAGAATAAGTTAAGATAAGATAAGATAAGCTTGTTAAAAATAAATTTGAATAATATATGATCATAAATGTTAAAAAAGGATTACTAAGTTCAATTTTTATATAAGCACTCTATTTATACAGTTTTACTCATCTAAATTTATTAGACCTTTATTTTAAAAAAAATTAAAAAAAAAAAAAAAAAACCCTTCTTAGACCTTATTAGTAGTGCGTACTAAATTTAATTGTAAATAAAACTTGGACAACTTAAGTAAATAGAGTATATCATACTTCATCCATTTCTTTTTAATTGACACATTTAATTTGCCAATGCACAACTTCACAAAAATTATAAAAAGTTGAAAATTTAAAAATATATATCAAGACGAATCTAACAAGATCCCACACAATTATATTTTTCATTACGTATAAAGCACAAAACACGGTTAAAGAGGAGTGAGTGAATAGAGCTAATGTCAAAACGTGTCAACTATAAAAAACGGAGGTAGTAATAAGGATCGGCATAAAGTACGTACTACGAAGTACTCCCTCCATTTTTAAATACTTGTTCCATTTCTCCATGTGCTGAGTTTTAGGAGAAATTGGAGATAATAATAAAATATGGAGGTAGTGGGGTGGGTGGAAGAATAAAAAATTGGAAAAAGCAAAAGTAGTGGAGAGAATATGAAATTAATAAAATATAATTTATGTTGGGTCCACTAGTTAAGAGAAATGAATTAAATATTGTCAAAGTTTTCCAAATAAGGAAATGGAGCAAGTATTTAAAAATGGTCAGAAATAAAAAGTGGAACAAGTATTTAAAAACGGAGGGAGTATATATTACACAATCAACATTTTCCCTTTAATAGTTAAACTCCGATCCATGTTTAACTATACCACGAGGGCAATGAATACGTTGTGAAAATTCATATAAAACCTAATGAGCATCTTTGCAAAATTCATATAAACTCATTATCACTATCATATGGACTGAGAAAACATAGTTTAAGGTTTAATATTGTTTGGGTCCAATTTAGTCCAATTGGGCCTGGTCACTGAATGATCCAATTAAAAGCCCAAGGCAAAGGTTCAACTCTCCAAATATGCAAAAGTCAAAAATCAACATCCTCAAAGCCATGTCAAGGTCAGTCAACGGCCCAATCAGCTTGGCCCAGCCCAACTGATTTCCGGGCCCAATCCGCCTCCTTCATTAGCCAAGGTATAAAAGCCAACAATTTGGTCAATTCTTGGTAAGACAAAGACAATAAAGCCTCAAGCAACTAAACTCTTGCACAGCTTTCTCTCTCTAATATACTGACTTAAGCATCGGAGGGGCCTTCCTCGGCGTCCCCCCCGAGGCTAGTTTACGTGTATTTGTTGTGCAGGAAACCCTCGGCTCCGGCGTCGTTCGGACCGAGACCAAGTTCCCTCAAGATAAAAGGATCTTCCGAGATTCGATTGTTTTCATCCGAAACAATTTGGCGCCGTCTGTGGGGAACGCTACTAAATTTCGCGTCAGTCATCAAACACTCCGGCAGTCGCCATGACTAAGAGTGGAAAGAGTTCCAAGAAGGCTAAGAAGGGAGGAGGCCGGATTACGGTGAGGGAACGCCAGCCGGTTTATCCCTCCCCGGAGCAAGCCTCTTCCGAATCGGAGGCCCCCATTTCTCCGGAAAGGGAAGCCTCAAGAGGTCCTAGCCTCCAGGAGGAGAACACCTCGCACCACACTCGGCAGCCGGGGCCATCCCCGAGACCGAGTGGCTCAGGTGCGAGGAACTCCCCGCCGCGCCATAGCGTGCAATCCAGGTCACATCCGCGGGAGACTCCTCTCTCCGGACCCTCCACCGAGGAAGTGGCCAGAGCAGTGGCCATCTGCATGGAGTTCCTTAAAGCTCAAGGGGCTCCAATCCAGATGCCTGATGATCACCAGCCGAGAAACCTGAAAAGGAGGATCGGTCAGGATGATGGTGGACAAGTTCCACCACATAGACAGCTCGGCCAGAGGTGGCGAGGGGACACCCGAAACTCCAGTAAGGAGAGGAGGAGGAACCCTCAACCCTCTGACCACTCTGAAGCTCAGAATTCCATGGGGCCCTCCAAGGACCCGGAATTCGCCCGCCAAAGCGTTCACGAACGCTTGGGTTCGAGGGAGGTGAGTGTGCATAGCCGCCTCACCTTCCCAGAGGATACCGGACCCCACCCAACCTTGTCTCAGCCGGGGACGAAAACCACTTCCACCTCTGAGAGAGGAGGGAGCGAGGTCCCTGAGGCCGGGTACAAGGGGAAGGCGGTCATGGTTCCATCGAACTCGCCCTTCCAGAAGTGGATTCTGGAAGAGCATGTGCCAACGGTCAAGATCCCGGCACATATTACTTACGATGGTACCTCAGATCCTAAGGATCACATTGCCTCTTACGAGGGGCACATGTATCTGAACCCGAGGTCTGAGGCTACCTGGTGTAAATACTTTCCTACGACCCTCAAAGGTGTTGCCCAATCCTGGATCACCAAAGGGCTCAAGGAAGGCTCCATAACCGGTTGGAACGACCTCTCCAACAAGTTCAAGAGCAAATTCTCTACGGCCAACCGCCGAGAGAAGACCACTGCAGAGCTAATGAGTCTGCAGCAGGCGGAGGACGAGAGCCTCCGCGACTATCTGACTCGCTTCAGCAACGAGTCATCCGGAATCACAAGCCTGGATCAAGGCCTGGCCGTGTTCGCGCTACGGAACGGCCTCCAAGCTGGAAAGTTCCTGGACTTCATGGTCATGCATCCCCCGCAGACCCTGGAGGAAGCCTTGGAAGCATCGGATAGGTTCATCCGAGCCGAGGAGTGGAACAGATCCAGGTCTCAGTCTCGTCCGAGAATTGAGAAGCCGAAAGGGCAGCAGCCCGAAGTCTCGGCGCAGAGGAAAGGGAAGGCTAAGGCCTCAGAACCGTCCTCTGCTGCCGAGCCGAAGAAGGAAAGACACTTTCCCTACACGGGAAGGTACGATTCATACACTCCACTCTCCCTTCCCCGTGCTAAGATTTTCAGCACGACGAAGGACGAGGGGAGATTCAAAAAACCTCGTCCGTTGCCTCCCTGGCATCAGACGAGGGGAAAGGACCAGTGGTGCGAGTTCCATGACTCACCCGGACATCGCACCGAGGACTGCGTCCAGCTGAAGGACCAGATTGAGGATCTGGTCCGCAAGGGGTACCTGAGCCAATACCTCGCGGACAGGCGCGAGGAGAAAAAAGCTGAAAAAGATTCTCGGCAGGACCTCAACTTCGCTCGGAAGAAGGATAAGGGACCTCAGGGCAAGGAGTCCCTCGACATCCTAGTTATTTCCGGGGGAATCTCGCGAGGCACAGCCAAACGCCAACTGAGGGGTCTAACCCATCAGATTCATCAGGCTGAGCTTCGGCAGTCCCAGTCACCGGCGCCGAACATCCTGTTCACAGCCGAAGACTGTGAGGGGGTGGTATACCCCCACGATGACCCACTAGTAATCATTCTGGGCATCGCCAACCGCAACGTCTGGCGGACCCTCGTCGACGGCGGTAGCGGGGCGAACATCCTCTTCCGAGGAGCGTTCGACCAGCTGAGGATGGGAGCCGAGCACCTGGCCCCCGCACCCTACCCGGTGTCTGGGTTCAACGGCTCTTCCTCGTATCCTGACGGGAAGATTACACTTCCTGTCACCATCGGCGAAGGCCGAGCAGCTAGGAATATCATGGCCGAATTTTTGGTCGTAGATGCTCCATCTGCATACAACGTGATCATGGGGAGACCCCTCATTCACGGCATTCAAGGAGTCGTCTCCACGTATCATCAAATCATGATATACGTTTCAGACGAGGGACGCTCCGAGAAAATAAAGGGCAGTCAAAAAGAGGCCCGCCGATGCAATCACCTCAAGCCATCCACGTCTCGCCGAGGCGACCGTGGCGATGGGGAGGAAAAGCACCGGGACCGAAACGCCAAAAAGCCGAGAGGCTCAGACGTTTCGGCTAATGAAGCCCCAGACAACGAGAAATCTGATGGGGGCCAAGAGGCTGACTCCGCCTCAGAGCCGAACGACTCTGATGGCCAGCCGCGGTCAGGAAAGTCTGCTAATATTGATAGCAGGCCGGAATTCGAGGAATCCAACTCTAAGAGCATGGAAACGGATGACCTGACCGAGTCAATAGAACTGACCGTAGGAGATCCGAACAGATGTGTTAGCATCGGGTCGTCACTGGAGCCAAACACCCGTGCGGCACTCGTCCAACTCCTACGGGCCAGTGGAGACGTGTTCGCCTTCTCAGCCGCAGAAATGCCCGGGATTGATCCGGACTTCGTCTCCCATAGGCTTAATGTCGACCCCTCCAGTCGACCCGTTAAGCAGAAAAAGCGGAACTACTCCGCCGAAAAGAACCAGAATATCGCAGCTGAGGTCGATAAGCTCCTAGATGCTGGGTTCATTGAACCCTGTCAGTATCCGGAGTGGCTGGCCAATGTTGTAATGGTTCAGAAGGCAAATGGTAACTGGAGGATGTGCGTTGACTTCACGGACCTGAATAGGGCATGTCCCAAGGACTCCTATCCGCTGCCGAGGATCGACCAACTGGTCGACTCGACAAGCGGGCATGCTCTGCTCAGTTTCATGGACGCATTCTCGGGATACCATCAGATCTTCATGCACCCCGAGGACCGAGCTAAAACAGCGTTCATAACAAGTTCCGGGTTGTACAATTACAGAATGATGCCCTTCGGATTGAAAAATGCGGGGCAACATATCAGAGGTTGGTTGATCAGGTTTTCGCCGAGCAAAAAGGCCGAAACATGGAGGTTTATGTTGACGACTCAATCGTCAAAAGCATAAAAGAAAAAGATCATGTCACGGACCTAGCC